AAGATTTGCTTCTAAATTCTACATTTTGGGTCTCTGATAAGACATTCCCCCAAAAAAGCTTTTAACCCTTCCTCTACTATATACACTGTTATCTCTTATAACAGGAAAGAAATAACTTAAATGTCAAGTTGTAAAGAAATCAGACCAATGTCCAAAAGTAAAGCTCAGTTTCTCTCCTTTAGTTTTAATCACTCAACTTGAAATTCATCCTTAAGAAGTTAGTATTATAGAGAGAGCAAAAGATCTAAAGTCAGGCAGACCAGGGTATAGTTTTCACTTCCTCCTTAGATTGTTGTCCAACCTACGAAAAATTATGTAATCTATCTTAGCCTTACTTTCCACACAAGTCCTGAGAATTACTAGCTGTATGACCTTGGGAAATATGGAACCATTCTGTGCATTAGCTTCATCATCTGTAACACAAGGATAATTATATTAGTCAGGACCTGTCCATAAGAGTTGTTGTATGTGCCAAGATCTGTCCTTTTATGTCTTAAGGTACTTATGTCTTGAGTACTTATGTCTTAAGTACCTTAAGACATAAAAGGACAGATCTTGGCACATGGTTACCTGTTAAATAATATGAGCAACCCTTATTATTATTAATATTGGTATTAATGCTGTAAAGTGCCTAGCATACAGTAGCGATTCAACAAAAGATAGCTATTTTTTTCTAAATCATATTAGAATATTTGTTGAAACTGGTGGTTAATTGTAACATTTATCCATTTATCTATGACAGCGGTTCTCAAAATGTGGCCCCAACTCAGCAGCATCAGCACTTTGTTAGAAACACGATTTCTTGGAACTTGTTAGAAATGGAAATTTTCAGGCCCCACCTCAGATCTAGTGAATCAGAAGCTCTTGGGGTGGAGCCCAGCAGTCTATTTTAACAAGCCCTCCAAGTGAATCTGATGCAGCTAAAGTTTAAGAGCTACTTGTCTAAGTTCTTAAAAAAATATCTTATTTACAGATTTTAAGAACCAAAACACTACATTATACTTTCACAAGAGGTATTTTTCATTAGCCCTTTATAAAGACAATGCTTCAAAAATTCTCCTATTTCATCTGTGCCCACAGGTGTAAAACTACTCAATAAGAACGCAATGGTCAAGAATACAGAGCAAACAGAGCTCTTATTCTATTGGCCAAAAGTTATCATTGTGCTCTTACCTTGGAGATTTACATTTCCTTCTAGCCACCAAATCAGAAAATAAAGAATAATGTGATTGATTCAGTGGAGCCATGAAGTTGTTGACTTTATAATGTGGGCAAAAGATATCTCTGCCATGAGTAAATCAAGCTTTCCAAAGACATGATGGAACACAGATAAAAATCTGATAGTTAATTAGGTGTCTCCTGTGTGGTAACCAAGTAGGTTACTAACAACCAGGGTGTGGTTCAATATTGGAATCCAGGGCCTCTTCCTCTCCAAATGCATTTATGTATCAATATGTTAAAATTTAAGCCAAATGTCCTATTATACAATGTTAATGAATAAATTTACAGTATAGCTGACCAGGGCTGAAGAATATAATTCCACTATAAATTACCAGTTAGACAGATGCAATGCAAGGAAAGTACATTATTATTATATAGACTTCTTAAGACTCCTAAAAATCATTTATCACCTTAAATTATTCTTTTTGAATACAGCCTCTAGGTCATAGTTCATGTTCTAATTCTAGGTCTAAGTAAACAATTTAAAAGGAATCTTCTAATCTTTAAAGTGCTTCAGAACAAGACAAAAACTAAATCATAGGACTTAAATCTTAGGTGTCATCTCTTATATTACTATCTTATAAATTTCTGGACAGCAAAACAGACGTGCATGGGACCAGTAAAAACAAAAACTAAAGAGTGATATAAGACCCTCTAGTTTATAAAGTGCATAAGGTAGAATAGAATAAATAGTGTAAATGACAAAGTTATCAATTTTATATTTCAGAACAATTCTCTAGGAAAATTTAACTGACTGAAGTCACAGGCATTTTCAAAAACAAGCAGTTCATGTTTTAACACAATAATTAAAATTATGCTGAAGAATAATACATAAATGTTATTGACACCAGTGGTTTACCTAGTTACCACAATTTGCAAGGTAAACAATTGATCTACTCAGTGTGTGAAGAGACTTGTAGAAGCAGGAGACTTGAATATGTTAACTGGACATTTTCTTAAAAACATTCTGAAGAATGATGAATCAAAGGGAAAACATTCTTGCCAGAAAAATCAGTTTAAGGAAAGGATTAGTCAAATAACTGAAATACCAGAACACTAAGATTTAAATACATTTGGAAAAAAGCCAGAGACATCTGCTCACCAATGAATATAAGTTTTAATTAAGTAACCTGTTCATGTTAAATAAATGTAATTTTAGCTCTGATAAATATAAAATAAGGCTATATCAATTTTTTCTGGAAAAAAAATTATATTAAAAAATCCTAAGCAAATATTTTAAGAAACCAATGTTTACACATATGAACATAATAGTAACTTAAGAAATCATTTAAAAGCTCCAAAATATTTACTTTTCTCAGTCATATAAACCTTTAAAAATCGACCATGCCTGAATCATCCCCTAGGCACTGGGTATATACTATTTTACAGCTGCATAAATCACAACTTCCGAAATCACGGGGATTAATTAGCAAATAGTTGAAATTATGAGGTAGAAAAAAGTAAACACAATCTCAAGCCAACGGGAACCTGCTGGCAGACCTGCAACATACCACAGTGCACAGAGAAATCAAACCCTACACAGTCTCTCATTCTAATTCATATCCTTGTTTCATGACTTCCTGCGCAGCTCTACCAGTAAGTAGCTATGGCAAGTTTCCCTTTCTATTAAATGGGGGAAGCCAACCAGAGGGTTTGGAAGATGTCCTCTGGTTGTGGAACTAAGTGAAACTGCAACTGAGGACCAAAAGCTGCCAACCTTTCAGAACCTTCAGAATCTTCAGAGTCTTCATTGATTCCCTTCCCGTGAGGAGAGTGTGTGGAAGAAGAAGAGTAGAAAAGACTTTTGGGCCCCAAGATCAACCCATAAATGATGAGGCAGGGGTGTGCAGGGAGTGGGGAGGGGACGCTAACAGGACTACGTAAAGTAATTCTTCAGTGTCTCAGTAGGACTCCAAGGCAAGACTGCGTCAGGACAGTTTACCTCCTTAATAGATTCTGAACCCAAAATCCCAGCTGTTTCTAAAATCCATGAACTAAAAAGGATTAATACTTGAGGTAAGAAAAGGGATTTAGATAAGGGAGGCAGAAGGGCACCAAAGGCAACTTACACATACTTTACTATTTTGTCTGATGCCATCCAAGCCAATCCATTCTGTCTACCATAAATTCTCATTTACTGAGTGTTTACCATATGCAAAATGCCATGCTTTATGCTTAGATTATCTTTTTTAAAACCTCATAGTAACCTATCGTTACCACCATTTTACAGATGAGCGTCTAAGAAGGTTAAGGTCACAGAAATAATAAATCACAAAACCTAGACACGACTTCCTGTCTAACTGACCTCTTGCTGCCTCCCATCTTTGGCGTATATATCACAGACTGATAACTCTGTCGGAGACAGTCTTTTTTTTACAGACAATTTGCTCTAAGTTTACAGAATACACAATTATAAAATAAAAGTCCAGTGAAGGAAAGTCTGTTCTGGGATCAACCTCTCAACCACCTCATGGCCGAAGAAGCAGGCTACTTAGAACAGTTTTCCTTAGAGCCTTAATTAGGGCAAAAAGAAAAGCAACAATTAAGTAATATTAAATTAAAATAAATTTAAAAATAATAATTTATAAAGAGCAACATTTTTAAGAATTATTTCAAATTCTTAAGGACATATCAGAATTTAGGAAAAGGATTTTGGTAATGGGTAGTAAGAGAGAGGGAACTGAAATGCCTCTCAGGTAATTCTGATATGCCCCTTGAAATAAGAATCACTTTTATAGAAAGTTATTAGATGCTACTACCTTATTTGTACCAGACCAATGCTACATGATGGTTTAAATAGGAATTGTAGGATAGCTTAAGAATATAACCACATTTTAAATAATGTTTCCATGTGAGAAAACTCTTTCCAAGTCCCAAACATCAGTCTTAAAACACCACCAATTTACAACTGTCCATAAAAGGAGAAAAAAAAATGAAGTGACTAAAATTGTTAACTGTGAAGTCCTATGGGTTCACATCCATATTTTTTAAAAAAAATAAATTTATTTATCCAAATTAGTTTCAAGTATACAGTACATTGATTAGACATCTATATTGTTCATAAAACGATCCCCTCAATTGCTCCCTCCCTCCGTGGCCCTCCACTTAGCCATCATATTAATTAGCTGAGATTCACATAATGGCTTCAGTGAGTTCTAATAACTCTAAGAAACTGTATGCAAATTTTGTATACATGTGTATTTTTCTGGACAGCTTATATCAGATTCTCAAAGTGACCCATGACACACAAATAAATATAATTTTAAGAACCACAGCTATTAACTGCTTCACAAAAAAATGTATATATGTACCAATTTCTGGGTCATACTAAGTACAAAAAGTAAAATGAGTCTAGATTTCTGTCTCTACAATCTATCTTTATTCTCCTCTAACCCTCTTCCATCCCCATAAATTTGATTCCAGAACTTGGTTTGAATCTTGAAAGAAAAAAATCTTACTGAGAATTTCAGTTTTTCCATACCCTAAGTAGTTACATATTTCTTAAACCGTTGATATTTTTTAGAGTCCGATAATAATAGGTTTTACTATTATTACAGAATGCACTATAATCACTGGGTGCTTATCTTCACACCTCCATCCTTACCCATAGGCCACACGCCAAACAATTATAGATGCCAAAATGCATGTGAAAAGCTCTAGAATTTAAACTTTCAAGTTGATATTGAAAAGCGGTGCTTCAGAGCTATATAATCAATTACTGCACAATAAATTAAAGTATGCAAAAACAATTCTAACATGTGAAAGAAATATAAACTGACCTTCATGAGATGCTGATTTATCCATTTTGTAAATGTTTTCTTTTGAACTTTGTCCCGTTCATCTAGAAAGGAGAAAAAAGATATAAAAAAGGTTGGTAAGATCTATGAATAGATTTTAATTGTGATTATGCATATAAATGAAAATACAGTATTCAAAGAATACTGTTTAGTGCATTTGAATTTTCTTGTTAAATTCTAGCAACTTTAGGTTATCTGTAAAAAGTGGTAAAGAGCTATCTGTCTAGACTGGTCTCTTCCCAGTGTTGTATTTGCCAAGATTATTCCATTAAACAAATGTCCTTTGTGTATTCTGTCGCATAACCGCCATCACCACCGCCACCACCATGAAGATGCCTAACCTAAACTTTATAGCTTCAGGTGAGCCCTTGCACTCAACTTCCCAAAGCACTTCACCACATATTACATCCCATTTGGTCTTCACCGCCATAAGAGGGAAGGTAGGTAGTTTCACTATCATTTTAGAGAAAAAGAAACCAAGACTTAGAGTGGTTAAAAAACTTGTTCGTGATTATTCATCAAATAGTTTAAGTTTTATTTTTCCTTTTTTTCTTAGCAAATAATTTACAGTTGTGATCATAGGCAGGACTCACATTCTGGTGCTTTGGTTTGAAGTGAACTCTGGCTTAATAACTAACTGTGCTGCTTCTCTCCTAGATTCCCTGTTTTGAATTGTCTTGTAAAAAAGAAACAGCCTCACTAGATCCTTACAACTGAGAGTAGCACTGCCCTGTTGTCACTACAGACACAGTGCAGAGAAGGGTAGAGAAGGCTTCGTATGGTTAAAGGAGAACAAGTATTGAAATGTTCATCGAGTTATCATTTTAAAAGAGAATCATAATCTTCCAACGCTAGAGCTAACAATCAGAGCTACACTACCTTCTTCCTCCCTGCTTCTGGGCAGTGATTCCCTACTTTCTGGCTTCCTTCCTCCTTCCTCTCTGCATCTGGGGACACCTCTTTCTTTTTCATTGGTGATCTTTTATCCTCTTTCGCCACAGTTCAGACACTCTCTGTTCTTTTCTTGGAGGTAAGACATGGCTTGCTCTCTTCTCTTTTCTTTCTCATTCTTTATCCCTGAACCCTCTTAAACTATTTTAATGGAACTAAAATTTCTTTGAAAATCCTTGTCTTACTTATTAAAAGTACTTATGTACTTTACAATAATTTAAATACAAACAAAAATATTTAAACAAATCAGCTGGGAACAATATCAATGAAGCAGGGTTACTAATATTAATACAAAAAAAAGAACTAAGAAAAAGATGAAATTCTTAATATATGCATACGGTTAATCCTTTGAAAAAAAATGATGCCCACAGCTACTCAACCTCACTAGTAAATCATAGCAATATAAAATGAAACAAAACAAGCCTTTTAAACCTATCGAATCGCCAAGATTTTATGAAAAAAAAAATACTGATGTTGACAAGGACACAGAGAACACTCATATATATCACTAGTGGAAATGTAACCTGGTTTAAATCTTCTAGACCTGTACTATTTAATACTGTAGCCACTAATGACATATGGCTATTTAAGTTTAAATTAAAATTAATCAAAAATAAGTAACATCAACAATTCATCTCCTTAGTTACACTAGTCACAATCCAAGTGCGCTCTAGTCAAATGTAGCTAATAGCTAAGACACTGGTCAGTATAGATATAGAATGTTCTCATCATCATAAAAAATTTCTATTGGACAGCACTGCTCTGGAACAATTTGCCAATAAATATCAAATATTTATTAAATATCAATCAATAAATAAAATGTAAATATTAAAAATACATACACT